GTTCAGGTTCAGACAAGTCACAAGGCTCCTGGGGCAAAAGGTTCTTGTGAACCATAGATAGAATTTAATATCTCATATTTGATATTATTTTTCAGATGTTAAAGCTCATTTCATCTTTCAGACGGAAACTATTTAAACATTTCATGTTATATTACAGAGTCTTCCAGATCGTTTTCTTATGATTCACATAACACCACCCATAATTTTCAAACCAATGCTGTTAAAAACATCATAGGAAACTATAACTCACTAAATCTTGATGGTCACAAAACAAAGCAAATTTCTTGAAAACAAATATAAAAGTTGCTGTTCTCTCGATGTTATGTTATGTTCTCTAACCTTACACTAGAAACCTGCTGATTCGCGGAAATTAGGAATCAGTTATATTCAGCACATTAATATCATCTTATCTAGCTCCGTTCTGTATTAAACTGACTTTCAATCGTGTAACCATTTCCATGATACGCCGACGGCCGATCTAACTTAACCGGTCACATCTAGATCTGGCTGTCTGGCTGCCAAATAAAGTCAGACTCTCTCTCATAAACTTAGAAGATGTGATAACTAGTAATTTAACAGCGTTCTTCTGATTGGACGAAACCATCACATTTACTTAGATCTCACAAGTCAACTTTTCTGTCATGTACACTGCACTGTACAGTGAAATCCCGATTTAACGCAGAGTTTGGTGGAAAGGAAACCAAGGTTGTTAAATACGTATTAGGAGGGATTACGTATTGGAATACGAATACGTATTAATCCTCGAAAATTGACGTATTACGAAAAGGTGTGGCTTGAAGTTGAAATTGATCGCGGACGGTCTTTAAATTCTGAACATCAAAATCATTAAATATGTATTATTATCACACTTTCGAGCCAAATTTGGCAGGAAAGCAGAATTGATATTACATGCCCCGATGGGGAGCACTGGCTCTCACCCGGGGGCATGAAATATCAATCAGTTGCTCAGAGAGAGTCCGATATTCCCATAGGAACAAGGAGCCCACTCTCAACAACTGTTCTACTACTGTGAGGTACTGATTTAAATAAAGATTTAAATCAATAACCTGAAGTAGTCTATGACCGTAAATGCAATGATCAGATAAACTTTCCAGATTGAGGAAAAATATATATTTATACCTTGTTTTAAAAACATTTCCTTGCGTTTGAGATGTGTTAAGCAAAATACATTTTTTTGTTGTAAAACTTTTTCAAGCTGTTGCCTTTTTACTGCACTTCATAGTTCAAAACCTAATTAGGCTTCGGATGATGAAACAAAGTAAAAACTCCCTGGTTTGTACGAGTTTCAAGCAACTTAAGGTTACTGAAAACGAGATCAAAGTTTACAAGCAGACTTGAAAGTTGCACAAAGTTTTGGTACTTGTCAGCGATACAATCAATCAGGCTTATTAATTTCCTTAATCGCTTACTTGAAATTAAAAAGGAAGTGTCAGAACAAACTACAGTCACCCTCACAAAAAGTAGTAGACACAGAACGATGTTTGATCTATTCGAAGGAAGAAAACACACAAAACAAAGCCAGATTTCAGCCATTTCAGACCTGAATTTTAACCCCCTCTGATCCCTTCTTTGAGCCATATTCCATATAGAAATTGTGCAGAAATTATACTTGGCATTTCCATTTTCCAAACCGGTTTCGCCTAGATTAGCTTGCGAAATTCGTGGCTGATCTATAAACAGACTGATAAAGAGACTTATAGATTCTGTACAATAAAGAGCGAAAATTCTATCCCAGGACTAGTTTTAACTGAATTTTAGTTAGTGCAAATAAGTGCAATAAAAACATCCTATAAAATATATTATCTATATAAATATATCAAGGGACGAATGACGTAACTTAATCAGCTAATCTGGTTATAAATTAGTCTGGGCACTGGGGCAAACAGGTCCGATGATTAATGTGCTGCCATTCTTTAGACAATTCAATATTGGTAACAGTACGGGTGAACTACCTGGCCATGACCAGTCACCAGGGTGGTTATAGGCTGGTGGAGTACTGCGTTCTAAAATGTTGAAGAGATACATTTGAATATTACAAATGTTCTGATAATTTCCAGTTCAGATAATTTCTAGCTCGAAGCAGATAATGGCAAATAATGGCAAGTAAAGATGGATACTGACTAAGAACTAAGCAGAATACTCGATAAAATTCTAAGTCAACGATAACAAGTTGCATTAAATCATTCTGAAATAACAGACAATCAAGAATCAAGACGGACGATAATATTGTTGATGTAAATTAGGGAGTGTAGTGTATAATGTGGACTGATAAATAGACACTAATTATGACCCCACAGCTCTATTCAAATACAAGAACTAGGAAATTCTTTCACCCTATCGCAGATACAGATTATACGATAAGGACTGTGATGTATAATCAACACTTAAACGGATGTTCTATACATTATACATCTACAGTTTTAATGACTCTAAAAATATCTAATAGAAATAAAGTATTAGAATCACCTCACATCGATTGATTTGCAGGATGTAATTACGTATCAAACGCGCTCGCGGCGGAATATTCTAGACTCATAAGTACAAGACCCATAGGCGGAAAACACATTAATATCGCATGCACTAGGTAGCAGTACAAAGCAAATTCAGCGCGGCACACAGCATTCACTGTGTCATAAATGTGAAACGCGAGATTCTAATTTCACATATTGTATCTTTAATATCTGAAATACTAACTTATCGAGAGCTATAAATAGCTTGGACATTATAAACATAAATAAGTTCGACATATCTAGTTTTGCTTTGGTGAGATTTATAACTAACGTTTGATCAAATTCTGCTTTCCAGGCCAAATATGGCTCCAAATAATGGCAAATAATGGCAAATATGGCAAGTAAAGATGTATACTGACTAAGAACTAAGCAGAATACTTGATAAAATTCTAAGTCAACGATTACAAGTTGCATTGATTAAATCATTCTGAAATAACAGACAATCAAGAATCAAGACGGACGATAATATTGTTGATGTAAATTAGGGTGTGCAGTGTATAATGTGGACTGATAAATAGACAATCATGGCGCCACAGCTCTATACTATTCAAATTTACAACCAGGAAACTCTTTCACCTTATCGCAGATACAGATTATACGATAAGGACTGTGATGTATAATCAACACTTAAACGGATGTTCTATACATTATACATCTACAGTTTTAATGACTCTAAAAATATCTAATAAAAATAAAGTATTAGAATCACCTCACATCGATTGATTTGCAGGATGTAATTACGTATCAAACGCGCTCGCGGCGGAATATTCTAGACTCATAAGTACAAGACCCATAGGCGGAAAACACATTAATATCGCATGCACTAGGTAGCAGTACAAAGCAAATTCAGCGCGGCACACAGCATTCACTGTGTCATAAATGTGAAACGCGAGATTCTAATTTCACATATTGTATCTTTAATATCTGAAATACTAACTTATCGAGAGCTATAAATAGCTTGGACATTATAAACATAAATAAGTTCGACATATCTAGTTTTGCTTTGGTGAGATTTATAACTAACGTTTGATCAAATTCTGCTTTCCAGGCCAAATATGGCTCCAAATAATGGCAAATAATGGCAAATATGGCAAGTAAAGATGTATACTGACTAAGAACTAAGCAGAATACTTGATAAAATTCTAAGTCAACGATTACAAGTTGCATTGATTAAATCATTCTGAAATAACAGACAATCAAGAATCAAGACGGACGATAATATTGTTGATGTAAATTAGGGTGTGCAGTGTATAATGTGGACTGATAAATAGACAATCATGGCGCCACAGCTCTATACTATTCAAATTAACAACCAGGAAACTCTTTCACCTTATCGCAGATACAGATTATACGATAAGGACTGTGATGTATAATCAACACTTAAACGGATGTTCTATACATTATACATCTACAGTTTTAATGACTCTAAAAATATCTAATAAAAATAAAGTATTAGAATCACCTCACATCGATTGATTTGCAGGATGTAATTACGTATCAAACGCGCTCGCGGCGGAATATTCTAGACTCATAAGTACAAGACCCATAGGCGGAAAAAACATTAATATCGCATGCACTAGGTAGCAGTACAAAGCAAATTCAGCGCGGCACACAGCATTCACTGTGTCATAAATGTGAAACGCGAGATTTTAATTTTTACGTATTGTATCTTTAATAATATCTGAAATACTAACTTATCGAGAGCTATATATAGCTTGGACATTATAAACATAAATAAGTTAGACATGTCTAGTTTTGCTTTGGTGAGATTTATAACTAACGTTTGATCAAATTCTGCTTTCCCGGCCAAATTTGGCTCCAAAGAAAGTGTGATAAAACATTAATCACATGCCTTCTCATGCGATATCAACATTTTCAAAACTCGGCAAGCCTCGTGATTGAAAATGTCGATATAACCCTCGGCAAGCCTCGGGAAATATCGAAACTTTCGCTAACTCGGCAAGCCTCGTGGGCGAAAGTTTTGATATCGCATGAGAAGGCATGTGATAAATGTATAATATGTAATTGATAATTTCGCAAAAAAAGTTAGCTTATCGGATTATCCATGAAATTTGATTACAAATTTAAGTTATCATGTATAACTGCACTCCTTTAATGCATGATTAATGATGAGGGTGGCGCGCAGCTGTAATGTTTAATTTTGACAAATCAGCGTATTACGGCGTATTATGGCGTATTCGTGGACGTCTTTAACAATCCATAGAAATTACCGTATTACGGCGTATTACGACGTATTCTTTATTAGAACCGAATACGTCGTATTATTTCACGAAAATTTGACGTATTTAACAACCTTGAAGGAAACCGCCGTGGAAATCGGGGTTTACGGCAAATGGTGATTGGTGACATAGTAGTTCTAAGGGATTTAATTTCACTTTACGTATTATATAACATAAACGGTTGATAAACACTGTCAAAATAAACTCAGAAAGCAGCTAGAAGATTTACCTCCAACTGCGTGGTCGTCTCGGACACATCTGGTCCGTATTTCTGAATGAGGTGACCGTAATCAAGAAACATTGCTCCTTCCACCGCGGAGGAAGTACCGTTATTCTTCTTCTTCTGAGACACGACAAAAAGTCAGATAAATTATAAATAGTCGCTTTAAATAGTATATCTTCGAATAATAAAGGAGAGGTTGCCGGAATTAGTAGATGTAACAAAGAATCTACGAGTAGTTCGAACATTGAATAACGAGAATATACACTTATTAAAATATGATATAATATCAATAGCACCTTCTTGTTAGCCTGTTTTGGTTCATTTTCTTTGGTCGTCTTGTTCTCTTCCGCATTTAGCTTCCTGTCTGCTTTCTTCTGCACGGCTTCCGACTCTAACTTCTCGTGCTCTAGTCTCTTTTCTTCTTTCTTCGCCTACAAGTTTCTAATTAAAGATCATGAGCATGACGTGTAGGGAGTCACTTCATTTAACTATTATATTTTAATTATTATATAATATGAGAATAAAGCATAATTACAATTCAGCCATACAAGTTTACATTGGCATTATTTCGATATAAAACTAATATCAAAATTAAAATTAAAACTAATATAAAACTAATATAAAACTAAAGGACTAATATAAAACTAATATAAAACTAAAGGACTAATATAAAACTAATATAAAACTAAAGGACTAATATAAAACTAATATAAAACTAAAGAACTAATATAAAACTAATATAATATAAAACTAATATAGTGGAAACAGTGGTCATGGTAGTGCATTATAAGTTGCATAACGTGTGGCGGGATAATCTTGAATATATACATATTATATATTGATTGAACCAGCACATTAACGTTGGGGCAATCAGGTACGAAAAACTATTTTATCTAAAATTGAATGATTTAACCGAGGTTGAAGCGGTCATCTGGTGCCAATTAAAATATAAATTCCTAATTTCTGGTAACTTTATATTGATCTTGCTAACCTGCATTTCCTGCCAAATACTGATACGTTCCATCACAAGTTTCTTTTGTTCCTCATAATCAACTACTTGCTTCAACATGCTGTGATCCGCTGCCTGAGGTAATTTCGGAATGGCGAAAACTTAAATAAACAGTTCAATATTATGTGACATCAGCATTCAGCACACACTATATTTTGATATTTCATTATCAGTCATATAATATGCCGAAAATTCGAACCATTCTGTCGGCTCAAAGAAATCGTAAATATATTTAGAACTTGCATATTTTATCCCAACTAAACAAAAAGTAATGCAATGGTATATAAAAATTGAAATTTAAGGTAAAATGGGTTTTTTTTGGGGTTATGAGCAGCAGACCCACCACTTAGCACACAAGTAGTAACTCCGAATATAAGAACCCCGAATATAAGAGAGGAGTTGTGTAATTTACTCACGTTCATGCCCATGAGAGCCTTGTGAGCAGCAATAGTTCTGGCAATCTGCCCAGATACCCCCTCTCCCTGGTAGACTACTTTATCAATGGTAGTATTCACTACTATAGCAGCTCCCGTGTTTGTCTGGTAGGTACACATCACTTCAAACTCTGAAGGGTACTTCGTTTAAAAGATAGCTATTTTGATACATTCTACATTCTGTGGTTTTGAGTCCGGTTTTGAAATAAATTTGTGTGTTTGTGCGCTAGTGTTTAAATTGTGAAATATAGATTCAATCAAATTTTAATTGTTTAATTGTTTTATACACTCAACAACATAGATCAAACCTAATTTATATAGAAAGTTGCCTGAAAGATTAATCTTTAAATTAAGCAATTAACATAATTAACATATTATGTAACATATTAACATAATTACTCACGAGCATCTGCTCTTAGTTCTTTGAGAGCTTGTATTGGGTGCTTGTCAGCGCACGTAAACACTCTTAGAGTCTTGGGAAGGTTTCTACCACTACCTTTGTTTCTTTTCTTGTCACTGAAACATTACATTAGGATTAAGCAGCTACACGATATTAATATGATGTCGAAGTTAACACTAATCATTTGAACAAAATATAGCTGATCTCGTATTTCATCATTTACTATGAAATACGTTTCGAACCAATAAAATGTTGAATTAAATGTGAGCTTACCTTGCTCCAGGTTGAGCCCGGAATGTGACATTCCCCTGTGGCACTGCAGGACTAGCTGAACTGTAACCCTTGACCCCCTGGTAAGTGGAGGGGTAGGACACCAGGTTAGTGGAGGGGTAGGACACCAGGTTTCCACCTACTCCTAGCGGGTTATAACCAGGTACACTCGACATGGCTTGGAGGATGGAATAGTTATAATCTGTCAAAACAATTATCATCATAGTTAATAGTTATCATCGTCGCGTAGTTAGTCCGAGTCAAATTGTATTTACTGGATATTACGAGTACAATATTCTGCAATGATACTTTCGCAGTAATTATTAATTCTGAATAATTCTTAACAAAACTGTTTTATTTTCGAAGTTATGATCCACAATGAAACTGCCACTTCGAAGAAGTAAACATTCAGCAATCTCTAACAGTAACTCCGGAGCATTCTTATACGCCAGACGTATATTTACATGAAATAACATATCGATAGGAATTTAGGAATACAATCCCAATTTAAGAGATAATAATATGTTATATTGAGTCCGATAACCGAAACAAACGGTACTTGCATCTAAAATTCTCCGCTAACGCATAAAGATTTCAGAGCAGTAAAATAAAAGATAAAATATTTTTCTCAATAATATAAAGTCAATCGAAAATAAACATTCAGATGTTGTTCATTTCAATGAGCTGCAGCTGGATGATAACACTCAAACTTCAAACTTCAATCTGACAAACACCCAAAAAACTCCGCTCTCCTTTCAGATAAAGGTAAAATTATAACTCCGAACTTTAGCGTGTTCACTTCCAGGTTCGGACACGCTGCTCCAGTAACTTAACGTTTGAGATCTAGAGCCGCGCAACCGAAACTAGAACATAACCTCCACTAAAGTTCAACAATGTAAAGCTCAGCAAATTAAAATTCAGGCACCCTGACATCTCTCCACGACCCCATTCCTGTTTGTTCCAGATGTTTCTTTACTGCATTCTTCACAGCCTGGTATTCTCCTGTACTCTTCATCTTGATATCACTGTACTTGCTCGCCTGAGGAACACTGAGTTTAAGTACGGAAATACGTTTCTCTTTAACTTCTTTTAACCAATAACATATACTAACCATGTTGATATGTTGGTCTTGTGTAAATGTAATTGTATAACATGGACGTATAATTTGTTTCAATATTGAGAGAAAAAAAGGTAAAGAACCAAACATGAGATCCCAATTAACATTTAACCCACCCACCCCCACCAGGTGTATTCAACTCACACAAGGCATGGAATGTACCGAACAGAACTGGGTGTATTCCTTGAATAGTTGCTGTGTAGAGTAGGTAGACTGGGAGAATAGTGCCGGGTCCACTGTCTGGGTCCAGTCCACATTCTCCAATCCCCCATCTATCTGCTTACCTGAATGATTGGGATATTTTTTAATTATTGGGATATTTTAATTTTTAATTAATTATTGGGATATTTTAAGTATGTTACCAACTAGATTGGTGAGTGATCAAATAGGTCTAATAAATCTATTGGCATGGCAAGTACAGACTTTTTAATACCTGATATTCATTCTCGACGCCATGACAAGAAACTATGCGGGAATTACTTGGATTGATTATGGTGATTAACAGTAACAGTAAACGTAAATCACTGGTCACTTAGTGTCCTATGCTATGATTACCTTCGCAGGAGTAAAGAATTTCTAGCTGGAACCCCTTAGCCCAGATACAAGCAAATAGGGAGGTCTTAGGTAGGAACTCGGTGGGTCTCCACTTCACACCTCTTACCTCAGGGGAGGCAGTGGTCATGCTCTCCGGCACTTCCGCTCCTACAGATTAGTGGTATACAATAACTATAAGATTATTAGTTCTGGCGGAATTGATGTTTAATAAGCTTTTAGAATACGTTAATTAATGAATATTATCAGCATATTTGATGAGCTGACAGCTACTCAGGGATCTAGTCAAATTAATACACTAAAATAGATGTCAATAACATGAATAAGTAAAATGTTATGTAAGGTATAAAAAATAAAATTCCAAACCTTGGACTCGATCATAAAGGCTCTTGGTGAGCTCTGTCAAGTTGTACTTGTTCAGTGTAATAAGATAGTGGCTGATAAAGACAGGGGAAGAGAGTTCAGAAATGAGGGATCCCTGTACACCACACATGTTCCTCATTGCTAACTTATCACTGAAATAATGAGGAGTGTTAATTAATTAATAAACTAATAAATTATTAAGTTATAAATTAATTCACCTTCTTTTAAACATATCCGTTGTTCATAGCTTCTGGCTAGCTTAGTTCTGGTGGTTTTTAAATTGTTTCGTTAAAGCTACTCGGGAAATAGGGCAGGAAAATCCATTACAAGATAATTTCGTGGTTTGCTGAACATGAAGAACAGCTTTTTCGAAGTATTTTAAAAGGACGAAATTATAGGATCATAAATTTCTCTTAAAATGTGAAAATAAAATGAATCTTGGGTAAGCTTAATTGAATTTTAAAACATTCAGGAAATTTATAAAAATAACACCGAGAACACACAATCAGTTCATGTTTTAAGAATCTAAATTAGCGGTCACATGTCTTAACAGAAGGAAGTAACAACTTTTTATCATATGTTTAAAATAAATCACACAAAAGTTAACAGTTTCTCAATTTTTCAATAGTCTTATGTCTGACAAAAGTACGAATGAAAGAAAAGGAGAATTGTTTTCATTTATTCGATTCCTGACCAGTGTGAATTCGCTGATGTATGACTAAACTGTTTTTATGAGAACAAACATATGAGCATTCCTTGCACTTGAAGGGTTTCTCCCCTGTGTGAATCCGTTGATGTACGACAAGATGACCCTTTTGAGAACAGGTATATGAGCATTCCTTGCACTTGTAGGGTTTTTCACCAGAGTGAATACGCTGATGTATGACTAAACTGTTTTTATAAGAACAAGCATATGAGCATTCCTTGCACTTGTAGGGTTTTTCACCAGTGTGAATATGCTGATGTTTGACTAAACTGCTTTTACGAGAACAAACATATGAGCATTCCTTGCACTTGTAGGGTTTTTCACCAGTGTGAATACGCTGATGTCTGACTAAGCTGTCTTTATAAGAAGAAACATATGAGCATTCCTTGCACTTGTAGGGTTTTTCACCAGTGTGAATTAATTGATGACTGACAAGGGTACCTTTACGAGAACAAACATATGAGCATTCCTTGCACTTCAAGTAAGGTTTTTCACCAGTGTGAATATGCTGATGTCTGACAAGGCTACTTTTAGTAGAACAGGTAAATGAGCATGTCTTGCACTTGTAGGGTTTCTCCCCTGTGTGAATACGCCGATGTAGGATAAGGCTACATTTTTGAGAACAAGCATATGAGCATTCATTACACTTGTAGGGTTTCTCACCAGAGTGAATACGCTGATGTTGGACAAGATGACTTTTTCGAGAACATGTATACGTGCACTCTTCACATTTAAAAGGTTTTTCTTGGGTATGAACTCTCTGATGTATCAAAAGTGAAGATTTTAATGAGCAAGAATAGGAGCAAACTTCACATTTGAAAGGTTTGGCTAAGTGTAGGGTATCATTTGAATTGTTCTCTTTATCCGATGATTCGGAAGAACTCGGCGGTTCATAAGAATTTAAATTGTCGTCAGCCATTTCCTTATGGTGTTCTTTAACATGTTCAATAAAGGACGTATCATAAAGGAAATGTGCTTTACATGTGGGACAAATAAAACCATGTGACTTCCCGGTGGCTTCCTCTAGCTCACACTTTATTTCCTTCTTTATAACATGGTCAAGAATCTCAGTCTTCACTTCTTCTTTAACAGTTACGGTTGGAGGAGTAGTATCTGAATTCGACATGGCAATCTTTCCTGTGAACAGATTCAAGAGGTTAAGCATTGAATTTTATAGATTAGCAATAAGAGTATAATGAGATGTGACAACTTTACTCGTATTTTGTAATTTTGCAACTTGTTAAAGCTACTCCAAAAAATAAGTAAGAATAGTCCAGGAATAAATATCCTGCTGCAATATGAACAGTACATTCACAGTAATCACAAAAGATGAAACTCTTCTCAAAATTAGTGAATAATACCTTAAATAAGTTGTAAAACATTCAAATTTAAATACAAATTTATAACAAATAAAACTGTGAAACTAAACAGCCCCCACCAGATGCAGAGAACCTCAATCAGTGCATGTTATAAAATATGTTGAAATTAAAGGGAGTAGTTTAAATAGCACACGTGTCATACAATAATTGCCTGTCTCAAGTAAATGGTAAAAAGCTTTTAGTGTCTTTCTAAAAATCTCGCAAAAGTGAATACAGTAATACATCCATTTACCACAAAGTTTGAGAGAAAGGAAAAGGCAGTGGTTAATCAGGGTTTTGATTGTTTACATAATGTATTTAAAGCCCTGTTTAGGGAAAGGAAATTGCTGAGGTAATTCGGGTGTGCGGGACATTGGGGAGAAATAAATTTGGGGTCACTGTAGTTCAATGTCATTCCTCTTCGATATAATTTAATTTAAACGTCAATTTGCATTTATATGAACTCCTTCCCCTTTGTATTTTATAAGATTTGATTTAGAAGAGCAAGTGTATTCACATTCCTGCATAATATTTAAAACTATAAAGATATTTTCACCCATGTAAATTGTTGTAATATATTTCTGATAGGTGTAGATTTATAAAATGAAAGAAAACGGGCATTGTGTTCATTGTTTGAGTTCTTTACTAGAATGAACACGCTCATGGTGGACAAGGTGAACCTTTTGAGAACATGTATTATGAGCACTCATTACACTTGTAGGGTTTCTCATCAGAGTGAATAAGCTGATGTCTGACTAGACTGTTTTTATGAGTAAAAACATATGAGCATTCCTTGCACTTGTAGGGTTTCTCCCCTGTGTGAATACGCTGATGTTGGACAAGATTACACTTTTGAGAACATTTATATGAGCACTCATTACACTTGTAGGGTTTCTCATCAGAGTGAATAAGCTGATGTCTGACTAGAATGTTTTTACGAGTACAAACATATGAGCATTCCTTGCACTTGTAGGGTTTCTCCCCTGTGTGAATACGCTGATGTATGACTAAACTGTTTTTATAAGAACAAACATATGAGCATTCCTTGCACTTGTAGGGTTTCTCATCAGAGTGAATAAGCTGATGTCTGACTAGACTGTTTTTACGAGTACAAGCATATGAGCATTCCTTGCACTTGTAGGGTTTCTCACCAGTGTGAATTAATTGATGACTGACAAGGTTGCCTTTACGAGAACAGGCATATGAGCATTCCTTGCACTTGTAGGGTTTCTCACCAGAGTGAAGAAGCTGATGACTGACAAGGTTACTTTTACAAGAACAAGCATATGAGCATTCATTACACTTGTAGGGTTTCTCGCCAGAGTGAATTAGCTGATGTCTGACAAGGCTACATTTTTGAGAACAAGCGTATGAGCATTCATTACACTTGTAGGGTTTCTCCCTTATGTGAATACGTTGATGTTGGACAAGATTACACTTTCGAGAACATGTATACGAGCACTCTTCGCATTTAAAAGGTTTTTCTTGGGTATGAACTCTCTGATGTATCAAAAGTGAACATTTTAATGAGCAAGAATAGGAGCAAACTTCACATTTGAAAGGTTTAGCTACGTGTAGGGTATCATTTGAAGTGTTCTCTTTATCCGATGATTCGGAAGAACTCGGCGGTTCATAAGAATTTAAATTGTCATCAGCCATTTCCTTATGGTGTTCTTTAACATGTTCAATAAAGAACGTATCATAAAGGAAATGTGCTTTACATGTGGGACAAATAAAACCATGTGACTTCCCGGTGGCTTCCTCTAGCTCACACTTTATTTCCTTCTTTATAACATGGTCAAGAATCTCAGTCTTCACTTCTTCTTTAACAGTTACGGTTGGAGATGTAGTATCTGAATTCGACATGGCAATCTCTCCTGTGAACAGATTCAAGAGGTTAAGCATTGAATTTCATAGATTAGCAATAAGAGTATAATAAGATGTGATAATTTTAATCGTATTTTGTAATTTTGCAACTTGTTAAAGATACTCCAAAAAATAAGGAAGAATAATCCAGGAATAAATATCCTGCTGCAATATGAATAGTACATTCACAGTAATCACAAAAGATGAAACTCTTCTCAAAATTAATGAATAATACCTTGAATAAGTTGTAAAACATTCAAATTTAAATACAAATATATAACAAATAAAACTGTGAAATCAAACAGCCCCCACCAGATGCAGAGAACCTCAATCATTGCATGTTATAAAATATGTTGAAATTAGTAAATGTTAAAAAGGTTTTATAACATAGTCAAATTTAAATAGAAATATATAAAAATGTAACTGGGTTACACAGTCTCCGACAGAATCAAATCCACAATGAGTTCATTTTTTCCATTTACACTGTTCTGAAAATACACTCGCTGATGTATGACTTTACTGTTTTTACAAGAACAATCGTACTATGAGCAGTCTGTGCACTTGAAGCCCAGGTCAAGATTCATGCGAGATCGCGAGCTAGACTCATCGCACAAAATTTGTAAATGAATGAGAAAACAGAAAAAATGTTACTTAAAAGTTGAGGGACACAACAATTAGGAACTTAACGTGTATTTTATACACTTAACGTGTATTTTATCACTTGTTTATAGCGTGAAAACTTCGACGTAACGCGCGGGAGATTCGGCGAGATTTTGGTGAGTTTCCCATAAATCTCGCACTTAAACTCGTGATGACGCGAGTTTAAGTGCGAGTCTAAGGTATGCTTTTTTCAGCATTATTGGTGGCCTAGTGGTTAGAGCACCCACCCTCTGCGCAGAAGGTTCAGGGTTCGAATCACAGTGTCACCTAGTTTATGGAGTAGCTAAGGATCCATTGAATCTACGCGATCTCCCCGGTTGACTCAGCCGAATGATAGGAAACTTAATTTACGGTTAAATGAGAAGGGGTAGTGGGTACCTGTTAAAAATCAAGAAACTTCCTAGGATACGTATACCCCGTCAGTGCATACTGTAAACAATAAACATAGAGCTATTGGCTATTAACTATTATCAAATATTTACTTGGTCATTGGCCTTTTGCAGAAGGTAACTTTTCAATGAAAAATATTCTGGAAATTCTCGGGAATCTAGGAGTAGTTTTTTTGAATCAAGCAATTAGCATGAACGCGCGAATATATATACACAAATATTTTATCACTCATATATTCCGTGGCGTGACGAGTAGGCCGATTAGCGCTGATAGCTGGTGGGTTCGAGACCCGTCAAATACCGTTTTATTGGTAATTATTTTTGCAATGAAAAATTTGGCGATAGAGATAATTTTCAAACACAGTTTCAATAACAAATCAAATAATACGATTTTGAATGCATATTAGGGCGTGCAAGCAGTCCTAGCAAAATAAGTTTAGTTCAAGCATATCGTATTCTCTCGAAATAATTTCAGGAGATTCAGTGAAATGATAAATCAAGCAAGATTTTCTTGTGCCAATTTAAGGGTCATATCAAAGGATCAATTCCTGTAAATCGTGCAGTTTGACAGGGTATGCTGAACGAGGCCAACCCCCCCCCCCCCCCCCCCCCCCCCCGTGACACGTGACAATCGCACTTTCAAATGACTAGAATCCAGTCTCATCGCACTTTCTCAGCAATCTTGATAGGGGACTTGAAGGGTTTCTCCCCTGTGTGAACACGTTGATGTTGGACAAGAGTCAAGATGAACCTTTTGAGAACATACGTATTTATACTAGGCTATCCATTATCGGTATAAAATCTTTTATCTAGATAAACAGATAAAAATTTAGGTTTTATCTAGATAAAACCGATAAAACCGATAATTTTTCTGCTGAAGGCCAAAGCCAAAATGTTTTCCAAATTTCACAAAAACTGATTGTCGACTTTTATTACTGTTTACCAGTAATCTTGCTAAAGTACAACTTCCTTTCTTTTGAAAATATTAGAGCATCAGTTTTCTTCTCCGGGGAACAATAGTGTACCAGTTCTCTTCAAAACAGTAGACCAACGGTTTGTCTTCTCCTAAGAACAGTAGTGTACCAGTTCTCTTCAAAACAGTAGATCACCGGTTTCCTTCTCCTAAAAACAGTAGTGTACCAGTTCTCTTCAAAACAGTAGACCAAGGGTTTCCTTCTCCTGAGAACAGTAACGCACTAGTTCTCTTCAAAACAGTAGACCACCGGTTTCCTTCTCCTGAGAACAGTAACGCACTAGTTCTCTTCAAAACAGTAGACCACCGGTTTCCTTCTCCTGAAAACAGTAGTGCAACAGTTCTCTTCAAAACAGTAGACCACTGGTATCCTTCTCCTGAGAACAGTAACGCACTAGTTCTCTTCAAAACATTAGACCACCGGTTTCCTTCTCCTGAGAACAGTAACGCACTAGTTCTCTTCAAAACAGTAGACCACCGGTTTCCTTCTCCTGAGAACAGTAGTGCACCAGTTCTTTTCAAAACAGTAGATCACCGGTTTCCTTCTCCTGAGAACAGTAGTGCACCAGTTCTCTTCAAAACATTAGACCACCGGTTTCCTTCTCCTGAGAACAGTAGTGCACCAGTTCTCTTCAAAACAGTAGACCACCGGTTTCCTTCTCCTGAGAACAGTAGTGCACCAGTTCTCTTCAAAACATTAGACCACCGGTTTCCTTCTCCTGAGAACAGTAGTGCACCAGTTCTCTTCAAAACAGTAGACCACCGGTATCCTTCTCTTGAGAACAGTAGTGCAACAAATACCAATTCTCCTCGAAACAGTAAAACATTTAAAGTGATTCAGTGAACCGTTTCCTTATCCTGTGGATAACTTGGAGCAACAGATTCCTTCTCCTGAAGACAATGTTTCACGCCTAGAACACTTACGGAATTTAATTGAGTGCCCTGCCGCCTGCCGGTATTTTTGACTCTTGTTAACAGTAACATGCTCGTTCCTGTCTCCAGAATGGTTGTAAGGTAGAACGCCAGCACCCTAGCCTCAAGATAACAATGTCAATAACTTTCTCTAGACTTCTACAGTTCTACAGTTCTACAGTTCCATAGGTATACAAATGTAAATAAACCTCTTAAGCTCACATTTAAGTAAACTACCTCTTCTATCATACTATAAAACGTTTGGGACTGTTTCTTGGATTACTTGGGAAGGCAAAAAACACTAATATTTCTTTAAAATTTTACGGTAGGGTAAGGCACATAATTTTGTCAGGGTACCTAATTTTGTCATTTTGCTCTGAAAAACTGCCTCGGCTCGGAATTTCAGCTTGAAAGAAGAGGATTGTGTATAAAAAGAAAGCTTAGACTTTGCTGAAACTGCTCGTACAAAGTTTAAGTTTCTAGCTCTTTTGCATCTGTGTCAAAAATGAAGGCGAAACTGTTAACCCGAAAAATAAATAAGATCCTTAAGGTTTTCTTAAGGAATTTTCAAAATTTTGATTTATTGCTATTTCAAAAGTAATTGAGCTAGCTTCATGCCATTGCATATTTCAAATATCTTCTACAGCAGAAGTATACGCACAACTTTTCAAGTCTCTAGCGCAATTATTGTTCAAGTTACAGAGGGTGACAAAATTAGGTTCGATTTTGCCAAAAGTACCTAATTTTGTCAAAAAAATCGACCTTTCTCAAATTTCTTGTAAATCACAGATTGTGTTGAAAATGGCCTTATACAACTATTCTGAAGTTTTTTTGCCCATAGGATATGTGTAAGGCACTTATAATAGCATAACACTTATAATAGCATATTTTCGCCGAGAAATATTAGGTGGATAATCTGATTTTTTCAATCTAAAATGACTAAAAAAATATTTGATGAAATTACTAAGCAAGTGATCTATCTACAGACATGAAAATTTCAACCTAGGCCTAGAACCAATCGTTTTTCAAGATGCCAGTGGTTTCAGGGGCATTTGGGGCTATTTTCTAAGATTAGATACCCAAAAAGTGTCATCTTTTTATCAAGCTACAAAACTATGAAAACATCATATCTTTGGGATTTTTGAGGTCAATGTTGGTAAAAAAGCGCTCGAATGATGCATCCAGGTAGTCTAAAATACCGAGAAACGGTTACTTTTTGCACAATCTTCAAGTGACAAAATTAGGTTCGGGGTGACAAAATTAAGTAAAGTCACCTAATTTTGTCATTTTTTCAAAATAATTTTTTTGAACATCTTCAACCCCAGCAATTTCGATCATTTTTGTGTTAGAACTTGCCTAGACTGTCTACTATAACATGGTGGAGGTTTCATCTAAATCGGAATTTCAGACGAGGTTAAAACCCATGGTTTATATCAGGCAGTCGGAAAATTGCCAAAAAATGACAAAATTATGTGCTTTACCCTATTGTGGCAGTTTTTTCGGCAATTTCTAGTGAATTTTTATACCGATAAAAATATGTTTTATCTAGATAAACAGATAACCTTTTTTAACGAATTATCGGAGATAATTATCGGTAACGATTATCGGAGTGGATAGCCTAATTTATACGTTTATAAACATTCCTTGCACGTCTAGGATTTCTCACCAGAGTGAATACGCTGATGTCTGACTAAACTGTTTTTATAAGAACAAACATAAGAGCATACCCTGCACTCGAAAGTTTTCTCACCAGTGTGAATTAGTTGATGTTGGACAAGATGACCCTTTTGATAACATTTATATGAGCATTCCTTGCACTTGTAGGGTTTCTCACCAGAGTGAATTAGCTGATGTCTGACTAGACTGTTTTTACGACAACAAACATATGAGCATTCCTTGCACTTGTAGGGTTTCTCACCAGAGTGAATTAGCTGATGTAGGACAAGATGACTTTTTCGAGAACATGTATATGAGCATTCCTTGCACTTGTAGGGTTTCTCGCCAGAGTGAATTAGCTGATGGCTAACAAGGGTACCTTTACGAGAACAAACATATGAGCACTCATTACACTTGTAGGGTTTCTCCCTTGTGTGAATACGCCGATGTAGGACAAGGCTAAATTTTTGAGAACAAGCATATGAGCATTCCTTGCACTTGTAGGGTTTCTCGCCAGACTGAATTAGCTGATGTCTAACAAGGGTACCTTTACGAGAACAAACATATGAGCACTCATTACACTTGTAGGGTTTCTCCCTTGTGTGAATACGCTGATGACTGACAAGGTTACCTTTACTAGAACAGGTATATGAGCATTCCTTGCACTTGTAGGGTTTCTCGCCAGAGTGAATTAGCTGATGTCTGACAAGGTTACATTTTTGAGAACAAGCATATGAGCATTCATTACACTTGTAGGGTTTCTCACCAGAATGAATACGCTGATGTAGGACAAGATGACTTTTTCGAGAACATGTATACGAGCACTCTTCACATTTAAAAGGTTTATCTTGGGTATGAACTCAGTGAAGATTTTAATAAGCATGAATAGGAGCAAATTTCACATTTGAAAGGTTTAGCTACGTGTAGGGTATTATTTGAATTATTCTCTTTATCCGATGATTCGGAAGAATTCGGCGGTAAGAATTTAAATTGTCATCAACCATTTCCTTATGGTGTTCTTTAACATGTTCAATAAAGAACGTATCATAAAGGAAATGAGCTTTACATGTGGGACAAATAAAACCATGTGACTTCCCGGTGGCTTCCTCTAGCTCACACTTTATTTCCTTCTTTATAACATGGTCAAGAATCTCAGTCTTCACTTCTTCTTTAACAGTTACGGTTAGAGATGTAGTATCTGAATTGGACATGGCAATCTCTCCTGTGGACAGATTCAAGAGGTTAAGCATTGAATTTTATAGATTAGCAATAAGAGTATAATGAGATGTGACAACTTTAATCGTATTTTGTAATTTTGCAACTTGTCAAAGATACTCCAAAAAATAAGGAAGAATAATCCAGGAATAAATATACTGCTGCAATATGAACAGTACATTCACAGTACTGTAATCACAAAAGATGAAACTCTTCTCAAAATTAGTGAATAATACCTTGAATAAGTTGTAAAACATTCAAATTTAAATACAAATTTTTAACAAATAAAACTGTGAAATTAAACAGCCCCCACCAGATGCAGAGAACCTCAATCATTGCATGTTATAAAATACGTTGAAATTAAAGGGAGTAGTTTAAATAGCACACGTGTCATACAATAATTGCCTGTCTCAAGTAAATGGTAAAAAGCTTTTAGTGTCTTTCTAAAAATCTCGCAAAAGTTAATACAGTAATACCTCAATTTACCACAAAGTTTGAGAGAAAGGAAAAGGCAGTGGTTAATCGGGGTTTTGATTGTTTACATAATGTATTTGAAGCCCTGTTTAGGGAAAGGAAATTGCTGAGGTGATTCGGGTGTGCGGGACATTGGGGGAAAATAAATTTGGGATCACTGTAGTTCAATGTCATCCCTCTTCGATATTATATGTAAAAGTCTATTTGCACTATGAACTTCTTCGCCTTGGTATTTTATAAGATTTGATTTAGAAGAACAAGTGTATTCACTTTCCTGCATAATATAAACTATAAAGATATTTTTACCCATGTAAATCATCGTTATATATTTCTGATAGGTGTAGATTTATAAAATGAAGAAAATGAAAGAAAACGAGCATTGTGTTCATTTGTGGAGTTCGTTACTAAAATGAACAAGCTCAAGGTGGAAAGGGTGAACCTTTTGAGAACATGACGTATATGAGCATTATTTGCATTTAAAAGGATTTTCAACCGTGTGAAAGTGCTGATGCATGACTAGACTGTTTTTACGAGAACAAGCATTATATGAGCATTTCTTTCATTTAAAGGGATTTTCACTCGTGTGAATACGCTGATGTCTGACTAGATTGAATTTACGAGAACAAACATATGAGCATTCCTTGCACTTGTAGGGTTTATCGCCAGAATGAATTAGCTGATGTCTGACTAGACTGTTTTTACGAGAACAAACATATGAGCACTCCTTGCAGTTGTAGGGTTTCTCACCAGAGTGAATTAGCTGATGAATGACAAGGCTACCTTCACTAGAATAGGCATATGAGCATTCCTTGCACTTGTAGGGTTTATCGCCAGAATGAATTAGCTCATGTCTGACTAGACTGTTTTTACGAGAACAAACATATGAGCACTCCTTGCACTTGTAGGGTTTCTCACCAGAGTGAATTAGCTGATGAATGACAAGGTTACATTTAATAGAACAGGTATATGGGCATTCATTACACTTGTAGGGTTTCTCCCTTGTGTGAATTCGTTGATGTTGGACAAGATTATTTTTTCGAGAACATGTATACGAGCACTCTTCACATTTAAAAGGTTTTTCTTGGGTATGAACTCTCTGATGTATCAAAAATGAAGATTTGAATGAGCAAGAATAGGAGCAAACTTCACATTTGAAACGTTTAGCTACTTGTAGGGTATCATTTGAGTTGTTCTTTTTATCCGATGATTCGGAAGAACTCGGCGGTTCATAAGAATTAAAATCGTCATCAGCCATTTCCTTATGGTGTTCTTTAACATGTTCAATAAAGAACGTATCATAAAGGAAATGAGCTTTACATGTGGGACAAATAAAACCATGTGACTTCCCGGTGGCTTCCTCAAGCTCACACTTTATTTCCTTCTTTATAACATGGTCAAGAATCTCAGTCTTCACTTCTTCTTTAATAGTTACGGTTGCAGATGTAGTATCTGAATTCGACATGGCAATCTTTCCTGTGAACAGATTCAAGAAGTTATACTTACTGTACAAAGAATTACTAGAAATAAGTGCACAAGGAGTAACAACTTTGCTGATTAGAATAAAAATTAGAATCGTTATTACTTCTGGTGATATCCTAAATTATTGGGCCGTTGCCCATTTTGATAAACATTCCCTGAACAAAATTGCAGAGGAATCCATTGCAGGACAATATCATCGACAGCTTATTAACAGTACTCAAAAAAAGACAAAATACTATAAAATAATTAATGAATTGGGAAACATTCAAATTTAAATAGAAATATATTAAAATAACCCATAGCTGGGTTATACAGTCCTCGACAGAAGCAGATCCAAAATGAGTTCATTTTTCCATTCACACTTTTTGTAAAAAAAGTAACGTTGAAAGGTTATAAATGGTCGTTTTTGCAGAAAAACGTGGATTTTGAAGAACGAGGTAGGTGGGTTTAAATATGTCGTCAGTGCTTACTTCTGTCCGTTACCATGACAACTAGCGGACTAGCCTCGCACAGCGCGCGAGGATTGTTGGCAGAGATGTGATGTATAAATAGCTTAGATTGTGGTCAATGAATGCGCGGCTCGAGTTTATTTTAATGTATACTTATATGTAATGTATAATATTAGGTAATAAGCCCAATTTGTATGTGGTATGTGTAGTGTACTGTACTGATGTGTACATGAGTATAGTTTACTTTTGCTTACAATTTCTTTAATTACGATACAAGTTAAGTTCTGAGGTTCAGTGTTTCCTGTATTTGAAGCAAAATTTATCAGTATTTGATATTATTATTATGAATTGAGCTGATTAGAGCTTATACTTAAAGTTATAAATCTTTAATACTTTCAACACAACCATATAACAAATTATTCGAGCGAATCAAATCAATCAATCATCTTCCTTTGTTAATGTTATAAGAATTCCTATAAGCTATCTGGCATCCCGATGGTGTTCTTTAACATGTTCAATAAAGAACGTATCATAAAGGAAGTGAGCTTTACATGTGGGACAAATAAAACCATGTGACTTCCCGGTGGCTTCCTCTAGCTCACACTTTATTTCCTTCTGGATATTTACATGGCGTGTTACGTGTAGTATAGGAATGGGGTAATTACTGCGGAAAAATCCCGAAATGTTTATAAATTTGAATGCATCGCATATAGAAATGGCACCCCGCAAATATTTTTTTAAATTCTGAAAATTTAAAAGAATTAAATTCAAATGATCTATACACAATACACATATTTACACATGATACAAATCAGTAGATTGATTCGGCTAAAAATTTAATCTATGATACTATCATAGTATTATAGGCCTTATCAAAGTTAGTTAAAGAAATGCTAAAAAAGTATTATCATTGTTATATACTAGTAAATTAATAATTAAATAAATAAATTTAGTCTAATTTTATGCAACATTTATCGATAAATATTTGTGTCAGTTATATGAGAAACTATAGAAAAACTATAAAACTATAGAGACTTAGTAAGTACCTTGGAGAGACAATGCAGTGAGAAGACTCCTCCTCGAATAAACTGATCTGTTCTCTGGATCCCTCTGTATCATCCTTCTTAGCATACGTTATCTTCCCTTCAAAGTTCCTTACTCTCCTTCTGTAGTTTGGATTGAACCCACCCCGCCTGAGGACGGTTTTCTTGTCTTCAATATTTTCAATATTGTGCTTTTTTATGAAAAGAACTGACTCAAACATGAAGCTAATAGAGTAATAGTTAGAAAGTTCAACTGACAACATTTTTAACTCCACTGTCAATTTAAACTCGCACTGTAATATTTACGATTTGTTGATATAAATTGGATTAAATGTAAGCATCTACAATCTACATCTGTATGTTAGTAAAAATTATGGTTCTGTTTTCTAACCTGCTAGATTTCGCTGGACTGGCATTATCTTTATTTGAAGCACCGTCATCAGTATTCTGTTCAGCAGACGAGTTCTCCTGCCCTCCTTTCTCCTCTTTATCACTCATCGGTACCTCAACATTTATCTCAGTGTCAACAACCACATTCTCCGTAACCTCTTTATCCTCCATAACTTCGTTTTCCTTAACCTCGTCTTCCTCGACCTTAGCAATGCTCTCCTGATCAAGTGACTCTTGTCCAGGTTCTCCGGTGGTGTCCGTGGACACTGACCTCTTGAATCTGGGAACGCGGTGGAACAAATTAAAGGTTCTGCAGTCACCATTAGGACAGTTGGTTGAGTAGAAGATAAACTGTACCCCATCTCTTATCTGGGAAAATAAACATGTCAAGAATCTATGTATAGTTGTGTCTTTCGTGACTTATTTCTATTCTTAAGGCGTGTACCTTCCAAATAAATAATCTAATTAATATGGAAATGTAGCGAAATCTATAATATTAATATGAATTATGATAATGACAAGAGAAATTTAAAATACTGACAGTGTACTTGTTGTTGTCAGCTGCCTGGTAAACAGAAGGTTCCTCCTTGACACAGGCTTCAAGCTGAGTGATCAGGTACCGTCTTAAACCTCGCAGGGCTAAGCTGTCCCCTGCGAAGGTAAGTCATGTGAAACAAACTAAATAACATTTTGCGGAAGCTTAAGAGCTTTGGGGATGATCCAAATTGATCGATGATGAAAATTCTACATTAACGGTATGATGAATAAAACTCGATACAATTAGTTCATGTAAAGGGTTCCTACCAGTACAATCATCAACGACAGTCCCGTCATGTTTGAGGTTTTCCATTTTAATAAGTCGTGTACCGTGCCCGAAGGACACCACTTCACAGTTCTCAATACTTTCCTCACCCTCCATCTGACAGGAAAGTTGATTACAGAATACTTTCAAAGTTACTGAGATGAATTTCAATCTGATAGAAACGATGCGGAGACGCAATAATCCGGCATATAATTACGTCCATGAAAAACGGAAAACACTTTCAGATCGTTCCTATCAGACTAAATTCATCATATTTCAATTCTCCGAACTTTCTGGATTGCTCTGTGTAAACAACGAGATGTTGAAACCTGACGGTAACCATGGCAACACACAGCCATTCACCATGGCAACCAATTATCAGGCAAACAACACAATGCAGAGTTTACACAAACCTTTACTACAAATACAAGGTTCTTGAGATGTTTATAGGGTCCTTGGACTCGTGCCAAGTGTTCGCTGGCAAAATTCCAACATTTTTCAGCTAACATGTCTGGAAAGTCGACCGGCTGTAGCATCTTAAACTTTTTGGAAACTGTTGGATATAAAGCGTGAATTAGGAAGGATTAGTCGCAACCATTGAAAAGACAATCACAGTTTAACGTTAACAGTCAGTTCCATTGTACTTTCTTATTTCCCTTTCGAAGAAACGACCGGTGCACCCATTTTTGTACCATACATTTTTAAGCAACCGCTGGTTCAACCTCTATTTACAAATAAAATACTAGCTCGAACCTTTCTTAACCCTCTCCCGCTTAACATTGACCACAGGTGGAGGTGTAGCCTCAAACGCGAGGAATGCCAGCCTAACAGCTTCGTTTCTAGCCTTCTTCTTACTGGTGTTCTGACCAGTGAACTGGAAACTCTGGATAGTCAGGGTGCAGCTGAACCTAACTCCTTGGTCCTGAGAATAGTTAATTTATCATTTGACTTGAGCCTAGAATCGACGTTAGCGAAGCTCTAATTAAGCGTTCACCTGAAACGTAACTGAAACGGCCTGGTTTTAATGATATTCGAAGGATCCCTCAGAAGTCTGCACTAAAAAACCAATAAATTATAACAAATTATTATAACAATAATTTAGGTTAAAGATAAAGGATAATAACCTGATGCTCAGAGAACTCCTCGGTTATGTTAGGACCGTATCTCTGAAGCAACTGACCGTAATCCCTCACAGGACATCCTTCCTGTAAAAACCAAGCTTTAGTCAACATTTTAAACATCACCATCTTTCAGATCACAAATTATGAAGTGTGGTGATAAATCGTAACGATACAACACAAGCTGGTTAATGGGACTGTACACTTAAGTACCTTTCACCAAGTTTGAACGTGAGTTGGATAAAAGTTAACAAGTTTCTACCTGAGAGGCAGAGTTCATGTTGTCGCCCGGTAGCTCAGTTCCTGGATTCTCCTGTTCAGCTGTTGCTAGATTCTCGGTTGGTTGTATAGGTCCAATTTGAGCACCATCGGGTACAGCTTCACTTTTAATCTGATGGTAGTGTAAATACTAGATTAAAATGATTGCTTAGAAACACCAGGAGTCTGTAATAAAACTAATACCAACCTAAAACCATGATGCCTTATATCTACCTATACTTTGACGATGATCCGACACACAAACTTTGATAACAATAACGAAACAATACTTTCCTATCGAGACGAATTATGATTAACCTCGAGCGGTTTTACAATGCTAAACACCTCTGCACAATTTCACTGTCAAAGGCTACGGTTTTAAACCTACTAAAAAAACTGCAGTTTACCACAGATATTATTTATCGCTGGAAAAAAATTAGCCTTAAGACATCATAAAAAGGTTGTTAACCACCTTTTCGGAAACCACTAATTCCAAGAAAATCACCTTTTTAAAAGCAGGCTGCTCCACTTCGTCTGGCTTACTCTCAGCCTGCTGCCCTCCCTCCTCCTCCTTCTTACTCTTCTTCCTCTTCTTCTTCCCCTCACTGGCTGCGTGGTTGTGTTGCCACTCCTGGATCCTCTTCAGCACCTCATCCTTCTGTTTCTGGTAGTCTGCTACTACTTGTACTTTGTCGTGATCAAGTGCCTGGCGGGGAAGGTATTATACGGTTAAACCTTTGTAATTTACTGGAGCAGTTTACTATAGACAATAATAGACTATTCGGGAACTACCATCAACTCATCAACAACTCACATGTTACTACCATAAAGGCAAAACCTCTCATAAAATTAGTCTAAATTACAAATTTCATCATTATTTAATCTCACCTGAATACCCTCTAGAGCTTTAGCAGCAGCGATAGCTTTAGCAATCTTGCTAGTGGTCCCCTCTCCCTGGTACACTACATCTTCAATAGCAACACTGTAAACATGAGCTGATCCTTCGTGTACATGGTAAGAACACACTGCTGTAAACTCTGAAACACATATAATATATTACTTCGCATTATGACCACTTTTTAAGGTTTTTTCCCCGATAAATGGCAATACGCAAAACTGTATTATTTTTACTAATTTTGACTGTGACTGACCTGCTTTTGGATGAAAGTGTTTGAGAGCTGCTACAGGATGGAGTTTAGCACACGAAAAGGGACGAGGTGTTGCTTTCTTCCTGATCGGCCACTTTCCTCCACCGCCCATATTTCCCCTGAGGAATTTTTGTAAGCTATTATAATGGTTTCCTTATTCTGACAAAGCGATCACCATAAAATTCAGAATATGAACATCGTAAAGAACGAAACTGCACATTTCACATCGTTTTAAAAGTTATCCAGTTAAATAAACACGAAAATTTCTCTCTCAAAACCTCCTTTGACGAAAGCTAGGGAAAGGAGCACGACTGCTAAATCCACCACGTTTTGCAGTAGAACCAGATTGGCCTGGCAAATCCAACGCTTCTCCAGTGATAGGTTTATATCCTGCCAGAGTTTCACCGTAAGAAGGGGAAGTAGTTGCAGTAGCATCGCTGTAGATCTGGTAGGCTTGTGTTTGGGTGGAGTAGGATGTAGGGTTTGTGGGATGTGAGGCTGGCTGGGTGGAGTAGGAGGCTGGTTGGGTGGGGTAGGCGACACTCTGGAAGGAGTTGGGAGCGTTGTACGCTGTGTAGGTTGGAGCTTGAGAGTAGTTTCTTACATCTCCATAAGTTGAGGAGTAGATGCTGTTTGCCGGATTCGGATATGTTCCAGACATCCTATGTGATATTTTGAGTTTTAGTCGAAATACAGGTTCTGTAAATAATACTAAGTTATATATCGTTGGAGATTAAGATAAGCTCGGCCTGCAATCTTACTTCATATAATAATGTATTCCAATAGTAAATATATCGCGAGGGCAATAATATATGGCCTGTTCTACACAGCTGCGCTATCCGCGCGCGCGGAACGAGTGCTGAAAAAGCATAGCATCACGATGTGAAATATATAAATTTGTAATCGCGTCTTACGACGAAGTGATTCGAAATATAAAATTTGCCAAACCCGTCCAATGCTCATCGTAAGATGTATCGACTGTAGAACTGCCACATCAGACATAAACTATAAATTAACTTATGTTAAGGTAGCTCTATAGGAAGGAGGAGATTGGGCTCATGATATGAATATAAGCCTACCCATGCTGTTTCTCAATTAGAAGAACTACAGAATAAACTACGGGTATATGGCCCCCAGAATATAGGTGGCCCCCAAAATATAGGTCATGTTAGTGGATACAGTTCTAACCAAGATAAGCGATACTAATGGGATCTGTTACTGCTAGGTTGGAGTAAAACATGTAACTTATGTTTCTGGATAAAAATTTTGGACCTACATGAGGTATTTTGGTATATTTGGTCATGACAGCGAAAGATTTAAACGATGTTGTCATTTTCTAGAGGGGTAAATATGGCGAAAAATTGTCATGACAAAAATCTGTCCAACACATGCCATTAAGACTACTGGTATGAGTATAAGTATTATTTTAAGCTATCTTTTCATCGAGACATCTGCAAACTGACAATTTGGAAAAAAGTTATGGCCACCACAATTTTACGGGCCCCCAGAATATAGGTCTATACGACCCCCAGAATATAGGTTGGTCAAAAACCCTGAACATGCCCAAAACCATGCTTTGGGATGCTCTACTTGTAGCTACTAGTCTCCTGAACCCACATATCAAGTTTTATCAAAATTGGATAAAAATTGGCCGAGTTATGGGATAAAAACAAAAACCATATGCCCATATTTGGGCATACGCACCAAATTTGATCGATTTCGGTCCATAAATTGGTCAAATATCAATATTTTTGAATGAAACCAACTTTATATGGAAGGTAAGCATATATTACACATTCTCTATGATTATCAGCTCAATATCTACCTAACTGTGGATTCTGTGTTCAAATAATCGCAAAAAATGAACAAAATCGCCCATATCTCAAACTGACTTCGCTCAAAACAATAGAACTCAATAGGGTTTCAATATTTTCACATGAAATTTTCAGAATCAACGTAGAATTGTCTCATGACCTTAAGTTTTGGGACAGAATTTTGAGTTAGGCCTTTAAAAAAATTTGGCGGCCAAAAATGTCTGATTTACAGTCATTGAGGTGCACATTGTATTGATACAGATAAAAACAGCCCCCCTCAATCATATCTAGGGACACTCCTTCAATCTTATTTAAGTATTTAGTTAAGATCCCTACTAAATGAGTGCATGAAAGCTTTTTAACAAGTAAAATTAAAGATTTTACTCATTACGGGTATATGGCCCCCAGAATATAGGTTTTAAAAAAAAAATAGCGACCAAGATTCTGCATTTTCTCTGTCACCCTGAGCATTAAGGAATGTGGGGTAGTGATGAGAAACAGTTAAAGAACATATGCTGAAGAGATGGCATCATCAAAATGTATGAAGGTGGAGTATTTGAAGACGATTTTTGCATACCTATATTCTGGGGGCCGTAGTTTTTGATTTTTTGCTATTAAGTATACTCTAAACCATTTCAATTTAGTATCTGGAGCCATTGGCATCATCAATACAGTCTCAGCAACATATTCTGACTGCATATAACTGTCTGTGACAATTTTAGAACAACTTAGGAACAGATGTTTGGACCTATATTCTGGGGGCCCTGTTAAAAAATGGTATTTTTACAGGTGAAAAAAAAGTACACTTAAAAACCTAAAAATTATTTTCAACTACCCAAGAAACATTTAAAGGGTTATTATGTACATATTTACAGCCCTAAACATGCTTAGAAGTAGTTTTAACACCTGTTTCTAAGTGCTCAAAAAACGACCTATATTCTGGGGGTCATATACCCGTAGCCTCTTACTGCAAATACACAAGCATGCTTCCTCAGTGAGAAAGTTGATCTCTAAAGAAACACATCTTGACCAAGTAAGGGTGGAGAAATACAATATCCCACCAACTCATTAGGGGACTGTTATTCTCAGGGCATACTTTCTGATGTCACAGATATACCAAGTTTCGAAAAACCCAAAGTCTCCAAAAGAAATCCAATTAACAATCCTTGGATGACAGATGGAATTTCAGAATCTATTTCAACTAACTTGGTGGCAAGAGATTATTTTTAATCTCAGGGAATAGTGATCGTGTAACCAATAACCTCTCCTATTCCGATGACCATAGTGCGTGATGAAGAATCACATCCTTTTCGAGGTGCTACTATTAAGCATTGTAATCTGTCCTGGGTGACTCCAGTTTAAACAGATGACGTGCAACAAAACACTATGGATCTACACAGGCAAAGGTCGATAAAAAACCGGGTGCGAGATGCTGGCAACTTCTCCTCTCTAAAAATTTGCTGCAGAAACATCACAAAGTAACAAAAAAGAGTTACTATGTGGTGCAGGCCACTCCAACGATTAGGAGGAGACCTTTTTAAGTACAAGTAAGTAAAGTAGTATTTCAACTAAAGAGGAGCTGTATGATGACTGGATAATAGACAGTTTTTGGGAGTTCCAAATAGTTTCTGATTATTCTGATTTCTTGCGACAAATGATACTGCACTCAAATTATTTGTTATATAGTAGTGTTGAAAGTATTAAATGACTGGATAACTTCGAAAAAGTCAGAAGAATTTAGTCCAGGTGGAAATATTGATCTTCACACAAAATTTTCGAACTATCATTGATGTCTTAAAGGTGTAATAAAATGGCAAAAAAAGAAATATCACTGTACTAAAATTATTTTTACATCTTGTTGCAGAGGACATCAACAGATACGATTTAGATATTTTGGCCTTACAAGAAACCAAAACTCGTGAATTCTTGGAAACAACACTTCCCGGTCATCATCGTCTTGGTTTTGTTGTTAACAAGCGTTTTATGGACAGTGTTTTATCACATCATCAGATCAGTGACAGAGTCGTTTACATGGACGTTAAACTAAAGTCTAATTGGGTAAACAAACCACCTTGTTATATCAGAATTATTAATTGTTACAGTCCTACTAATCCAAAAGACCTTTGAAGTGGAACAAGCTGCCAAAAAGCTAAGAAATGGTAAGGCTGTTGGTCCTGACGGTATTCCTAACGAATTCCTTAAACACTCCCCACCTATTTTCTATTCTACATTTGCACAGCTGACCAATCAATCCTTTGAACGTCATGAACATGTACCTTCATTCACTGAAGGATTCCTTACCCCACTGCAAAAACCTGGTGGACCTTTAAAAAGTCTGCGCCCTCTTTGTCTTTTAAACGGCACCAGGAAGATATTTAAACGGCACCAGGAAGACCTACCTGTGGCTAAAGCTCTAATATACAAACACAATACATTTCATTCGTAGCTGGGTGAGAAGTGTGTGGCGGTTCCTCTACCCTGCGGACCACATAAAGGCTAGCTTATATAACATCTGAACCGAAAGTAAGAGTACTTTCTTGACGAAAGTCAAATACAAGGAAATACTTTCGAGAAACTATAGTATATAGCTAACTTTAGCAGGGTAGTGTTGGTTATGTGCCTAACCTGGTGAGCACAGTGGATATCCTTGCTGTACGGCTAGTTAAACAAGGAATTGAAAATGTGGGGTCCGTGCAGACTAACCTACCTGTGGCTAAAGCTCTAATATAATACGAACACAAAACATTGTCCATGATAGTCCTTAAAGACGCATTCAAAGACAAGTTTCTCAGTACACAGGACCTTCCAGGCAAAATGCCTACAAGCCTGGCCATAGCTGTGCAAATATTGTTTGGACACAATGGATCCTAGTTTCAGGTGTGAAGGAGAAACGCTGGTCTCTACACAAAATGGGTATTGATATGTCATCTGCATTCAACACCATTAAGAGATCAGTTTTGCTAGAACTTCTTGCTGATGCTGGTTGTAGTGAAGACGACATCCGACTGGTAAGGTACCTACTATCATGTACCAAACTGAAGATTAAAGTGAGGTCTACCGTATCAGGGGAGTTCATTGTCACGATAGGTGCGTTTCAAGGTGATAGTTTGTCTGGAAACCTTTTCACCCTTTATTTGGCTGGCGCACTTTACCACCTTCGTGCCTTTATGTCTTATCTAAGACCCAACCCTCCGTTTGCTGAAAACCTGCTATCTCTTGAGTGGGAGTACGCAGACGACGCAGACTTCACAGATGAGGATAAAAAGAATTTGGAGTCCATGTTACCAATATGCAAGGAGATATTGGAGGAGTGGAATCTTTTTGTCAACAAATCAAAAACAGAGTTCACACATATCTATCTGGCCGAGAAGAACGAAGTTGATGACAAAGGAGAGCCACTTCGAGGAAGAGAGCCCTGGAGATCATCTATCTCACTTGGTTCCAAATTGTGCTGCAACGAGGACATAAAAAGACAATGTATTCTGGCAAATCTTGCTTTCCAAACCTACAAGAAAGTTTGGGAACAAGGTAAACGCATACCTCTTAAGACCAGACTTAAGATTTACGAAGCCCAGGTGGTCTCCGTCTTAATGTATAATTGTAGCTGCTGGGCTGCTTCAAAGCAGCTACTGAGTAAACTGGATATTTGCCACAGAAAGCATCTGAGGCAAATCATCAGAATGACTTACCCTAATATAATCAAAAACGACACCCTTTACAAGATATGTGAAGTGGTTCCACTCAGTGAGCGTGTTGCATGCGCACAATGGAGGATGCTCGGACATGTCCTTCGCAGTGATAACAACTCACCTGCACAGCTTGCATTACACTTTGCAGTAGAGAGTCAGAGTACTAAAAAGGGTAGAGTAGGCAGACACCAGTCGAACTTGCTTAGGACTATTAAATTTGATTTAGGTAGTAGGAACATTTCTTTTGTAAATACAGACGATTTGTACAATTTAAGACTTTTAGCCTCTGATTGAACAGGATGGAAGAAGTTGTTATAGCTTGTGTATCAGTATTTCTTTTTTTCTGGCTACTTATCAGATCTTTAAGATGTTCATTTATGTTCTATTTTTGATTTGAATAAAGTTATATAATATATAATAATAATCTAAAATTATAGATCATCAAGGAGACAGTATAAAGACTTGGGAAGTTATCAATGAAATACAAAAAACCATTAAGCCTCAATTCTGAGTCGATGGTGCGGAGTACGCATCACAGAACGTAGACTCATAGCCAACAAATTTAATGAGTACTTTACCTCAATTGTGTCGAAATTGAATGAACAAATTGATGGGGAAATCAAAATTGAGCCACTTTCTTGATTTGTTAAATTTTTACCAAAAACTAACCCAAATTCGATGTACTTAACAGACTGCACTGAGGGTGAAATATCTCATATAATTTCTGAGCTACAAAATGGCAATGCTAGCGATTTCCGGTTGACTCAACCCAATTGAACCCAGTTCCCACGCAGTTAACATGCACCCAATCAGCTTAATTGGGTGACCAATCAGCTTAAATCCCAAAACGACAACTGAACCCAGGTCATATTACAACTGCACCTAAATTGGAAATACGACAACTGAACCCAACGATCAGATTTTCAGGTTCTCCTTCTTCGCAGGGGACTGTGGTCATTATCAGTATAGGATAAATCATGACCACTGTAATTTAGAGCATTGGAGCCCTGTGCTTACCCCGGTAAAATATTAATACATACATGCTACATGAAGAGGTCTCCTCCTAGTCGTTGGAGTGGCCTGCATCACACACATCTCTTCTACGGTGTAGCATGTTCCTCCATTCCACTCGTTGCAGAGCTAACTGTTTTACTGCGTATCTGCTGATGTTTTCGACACCTGTCAGCTGCATCCTCGAGTACACAGGCCATCCAGCCTTTACGGAATCCAATCCAGTAAAAAATTGGGAAACTGTGTCTCTGGCATTCTGACAACGTGTCCAAACCACCCTAGTCTTCTAACTGACGATTGGGTTCAGTTGTCGTTTCAAAGTTAATTAGGTAGACTGATTGGGTTTAAAATTATTTTCCCAAGCTACCTTGTCTAGGATAAGTCCAAATTGGGTTCAGTTGTCCGGTAGCCTGATCTCCCCATCAGTGTTATTAAAAAGGCCTCACACATTCTCAGCCCAGTGCTTTCCATACAATACAACAACCTTATGTCAACAGGATGCTTTCCCGTCATCCTTAAGATAGGTAAAATTAGCCCCATCTACAAAAAAAACAATGAAGAACACTTGCAAAATTATCGTAAAATTTTTGAAAAGGTTATCTACTCACAGCTTAATAGTTTTCTCTCGAGTCAGGGAATACTGCACGATAGCCAGTTTGGGTTCCGAAAAGGTCATTCAACATCACATGCACTCAACTACTAAGTTCACCACATTCAGCTATCACTCAAAGCCGGTAATCATGTTCTAGGAATCTTTTTCGACCTAAGTAAAGCATTTGACACAATAGAGCACTCAATACTTCTCAAAAAATTAAGCACATACGGTATGGGATCAAAGGACAGGCACACAAACTCCTAGAAAGTTATCTTTCCAACCGTTGGTGTGCTTAATAAAAAATCTGATACTCTACCTGTTGCCTGTGCTCTTTGGAGTGCCACAAGGGAGCTGCTTAGGGCCCCTTACGTTCTTAATTCACATAAATGATCTTACGGCCGTACAAACTCTGAAAAGAACTCTAAATTTGTTCCATTTGCTGATGATACAAATATCTTCGTCGCTGCAAAAAGTAATAACCCTGATACTCTACCTGTTGCCTGTGCTCTTTGGAGTGCCACAAGGGAGCTGCTTAGGGCCCCTTACGTTCTTAATTCACATAAATGATCTTACGGCCGTACAAACTCTGGAAAGAACTCTAAATTTGTTCCATTTGCTGATGACACAAATATCTTCGTCGCTGCAAAAAGTAATAACCTAGCATACAAAAAAGCCAATAAAGTCCTAAGTTCCATACACCACTACATGCTTGCCAATAAACTTCACATAAACACCATCAAGAGCTGTTACCTTGAATTCTCAAACTCTCGATCCAACAAACATGAAGATACACACTCTGATCAAGATATCAATGGCATACCTTTGGAGAGAGTGCACGAAACTTAATTCTCAGCACGAAACTTTAATACTTTCAACACTACTATATAACAAATAATTTGAGTTCAGGGATGGCAAACAAGGACGGGCAAACGGGGCACACTGATAGTGCCCCAGCCAGTACAGAACATGTAGAGACCAACGGACAAGCTGAAGAAGAAAGTACTAACGAACCTGTGTATAATCAGAAAGTATTAAACTCAACCAATTCTATCAAACCTCAATCATCTTATTCGAGATATGACTTTCGGCGCCACATCAGAACAGAGAAACCCTTGTTAAATAGACCTCAAGTCCTAGAAGTAAACATCAATCATAAAACAAGAGTTAATAAGAAGAAAAAATGTAGACCAAATGAGAAGGAGAAGATAGATGACATATCACAATGCTGGCAAGCATTACCGTCGCCCTTATATTCACAACACTATTTACCCCCTAAACGATTATATCCCCTTTATTGTTTTCCAGGCATTAAGACTCATCGAAAGTAGTTCAGCAGGTACATTTAAGTTCAAAACATTCTAATTCAATGTTGAAGATGACAGGAATAAGAAATA